ATCCGTGCCTCCCGAAGTCAGCGCGTCATGACGCAAATATCCAACCCGCAGGTCCATTTTGACCTAGCAGAGATCCATTGCAAGGCGAGAGTAGAGCGACTTACTGGCGCAGAGCAGCTTGATGGCGGGCACGAAGTGTCACGTGGCAGACGAGCGCCAGGAAGAGGAAGGGAAACTTGGAGTTAACTGATCACTGACTCATCCATGTGGTCAGTTTACTCATGTTCCACCAGAATTCAAACCCCAACCGACACATATGGAATTTTTAGTAAAAAGTGCGAGGGGTTCGATGCCGATTTTGTCTGGGTTCTCCCGTTTCATCTCCGTCTTATTCCACTATTGCTTCATTATCATTTAGATTCTCATTATCCGTGCATCCCAAAGTCAGCGCGTCATGACGCAAATATCCAACCCGCAGGTCCATTTTGACCTAGCAGAGATTCACTGCAAGGCGAGCGTAGAGCGACTTACTGGCGCAGAGCAGCTTGATGGCGGGCACGAAGTGGTCGTGGCAGACGAGCGCCAGGAAGAGGAAGAGGTAGGCGGCGGCGAGCGCGTGCAGGAGGGCGGCGCCGCGGCGCCGCGCGTGCGCCGACACCAGGTCGCTCGGGAAGTGGTGCAGCGCGGGCGCCGTGCAGTTGCGCTCCTCCTCGCTCGCCCCGCCCGCCTCGCCCTCCTCCCACGACCCCGACCCCGACCCCGACCCCGACCCCGACCCCGAGCTCCACGCCTCCGTCGCCTCCTCCGCCTGCAGCAGCCGCCGGCCTGCAACACACAAGGTGCATTTTGTAAGACGAGACAAGATTTTATAAGACAAGACTTGATGGTGAGGAGGAGCTGATAATCTGAGTCATCTGAGTAGCAAATCATGATGTACCCTACAATGAAGAAAGTTTATACATGTGTCTCTCCATAAAATTATTTCGGGACTCCATACCTTCAAGATTGTCTTTAAAATGTTTTAAAAAAGACAGGCTAATTACAAATTTTCAAGAATATATCCATTTCTCATCTCATTTTAGAACTCGAGATTGAGAGTTAAGAAAGGCTGAAAAAATATCTCCTGATTTTGATATAAATGATGGTTTTTGTGTGTCCATATTTCAAAAAGATGTTGTTTCCAAACGCTGGTCTGTCAGTCCGTTTGTGAATACGAGTAGGGCCTAAACCGTGTACTCAAAATTTCTACACTTTTCCTTCCTTACTCCAAAGAAGAGAAAGTATTGTAATCGTGCGCGGGAAATCGACGATATTTAGACTCTTATTATCAGGCCCTGGAAGCAAAAAAGTGGATAAATCTTGTTCCTGTATGTAGTAAATTACTTCCTGTAATAGACCTATAATCGATTAACGCCAAAACAACTGTCTGTTCGGCCAGCCGGTAGTCTGTAAGTGGTCAACGCTAGCGCCTAAACCGTTCCGCCAATTTTCTCCAAAATTGACATTTCTCTATCGATATGAACAAACTGTATGCCCTACAAGTTTCAAACAGATATTTTAATTTTTGGGATCACTTTTCTTGAAGCCTCAAGAACATTTTCAATTTTGTTTCAAAAAGAGCTCCAAATTTCGATTAAACTTTGCCTTGGCGTCACATTTTCGTTGGAATCCCTTGTTTTTTTGATAGTTGCAAAAAGTTGAAAGTTTTCAGCGTATTTCCTAGAACTACTATATTGAAGAGATATTTTTCTTAATGAAATCTTTTTTTATAGGAATAATCTTGAGATAAGACCAAGAACCCTTTTTTAATGTGAGAAATTTTTGTGTAGTTTTGCGTGAAATATATACAACTTTTAAACAATTGTTTTCAAATTATTTTATTAATAGTTGTTTTGAATTTTCTTCCCTATGTATGAAATGACAATACAAAAATTGGTATTGGTCTCATTTTCAGCAAGCTCTCTGCACTTTCGCAAATTGCGGAACATTAACATTACAAAATACATATTGATGATAGATATTCACGCAACTTCTTCTTAATTCAATTTTTTTAAAAAATCTTCTCAAAAGAATACCTAATTTTTTTCTTCAACTTTTATGAAGGGATAGAGCAAATAACGCATATAAAGATGGTGTAGGTCCCATTTTCAGCAAACTTTTTGCTTTTTTGAAAATTTATCTAAAAATTGCAAAATTACAATATTGTGAGATATTTTCCTTAATGAAATCTGTTCTTTAAAACTAGATCTTGAAATAATGTAAATGAAAACCTCTGAATTTTTGAAAATTGCACATGCCAATGCTCACTTTTGTTTAAGGGTTGCGTAGAAAGATCTAATTTTCCAGCGCTGAGCTGATGTAGAGATAATGTGTCTGGCGTGTACCTCTAAAGGCGTGAAATTAAATCTCAGCAAGAAGAAAAAAATGGTGTTTGGAAACACTTTTTCAAGTTTATGTAGCATTATAATATTGCGTAGCGGGTTCAAATAATACGAGAAAGTATATGTTGTTGCGTCACTAGTGTCTTTCTGTACTACTGTACTATTTTATACATTTTACATTTTAATTATTTTGAATGTAAAAGACAAAAACATTTTTATGTTGTCTTAAAATTATTCTTTCCAGTGTTGTGAATATGCCACTGTCGTTTTCCATGTAAACTCAAGGCGATTTGAAAAATCAAAAATCGAATGTGAGAAATAGACCCATATTTCTTTACAAATAAAATAGAACAGACTTGCTAAGTAAGTGATTGTTTTGTTTAAGTCATTTACTACTTAGCACTTCGAATTGTGTTTCATGCTATTATTGGGCGTTAAAACACAAGTTCCATTCAACAAAGATCGTTTGTTTGAAAGAGAGTAAGCTTGTAATGTGAATAAGGACCAAACAGAAGAACAAGTGTATGGCATTACATACTGACATCATGACTTTTTTGTTAAGGTGAACTTGTCTAAGAGTCGCATTCCCTTAACTACTTTAAGGAATCTGAAGAACGAGTTTTGGACTCTCTACAACGGTATCGCCTGCGGGAGGCAAGTAGTTTCTCTTACACGTTGGCGACCCAGAATGCATGTTATTTCCAGAGTTGTCCCGAAGGATTTTAAAATCCGTTTCGAAATGTCTAAGCTACCGGCCCCTCTGTGAATCCTACGGAGGTTCTGAGAGTTGAGAGGCAGGCGTGGTCTCGACAGTGTATTCATGTGTTTGAAGTGGTTGGCGCCAAATCAGGATATTTGCTTATCAATCGCGCACCGGCCGGCAGGCGTCGCGGGCGATAAGGGAGATGGATGCGCAGGGGAGGACTTTGCACTCGCCTGACGCGGCGCAACGTCTCATTTGGTGTACAAGTCGGGTTCGCCTGACCCCTTGCGGGGTCTCTTCGAACAGTGGGCTTACAGTGGGTTATTGTTTAGGGTTTTTTGACTCCTCTCCCCCGTACGGGACGGAGATCGGGATTCTGGGTTGTTGGCGGAAGGGTTAATTTTTCTATGGAGAGAGGGGTTGTTTTATTAAGGTTGTGGATGACGGGGGAGGGAAGAGGCAGGACTGGGATGGAAGGGGATAGGGTGGGGGACGCGGCGCAGGGCCCGGGCTTGGTGGGCAGGCGCTTGAGGCTCGCGTGCGCGAAACACTAATACCCGTAGCGCAACTGGGATTTCTTTACGTCTTTCATTATTTTTTATTTTATTTTATTTTTTACTCTTCATCTTTGAGTACTACAGGTTTAACCTGTTTAGGGTTACAGGATGTTAGGAATTCTCTCTTTCAGCCGTTTTCCGCTTACTATGTACTCTGTACAGTTAATGTAATGGATATCTCTGAGGTGGTCTTGTGCCTAAAAGTGGGGTGAAAATGTGCTGGCTAGCGTCATGATTCAATCGGATACTTTTTATCCAATATTTACTGTTATTAAAGCCAGTAAATATTGGTACTCCTTTGAAAAGAAGGCTGAGTGAATCTTCCGACCGTCCTGAATAGATCATGATTGGATAAAGGTCCTCATCTATTCTGGGAATTTTTATTTAATTCAATTATTATTTGTTTGTAAAATAAAGGCAAAAAACTGCATAAGACGTATGGAAGGGATGAAAATCTTCATTTACTAACCAGAAACAAAGCAAACAACTAAACCTTCAACTTGTTCAATACTCCGAAATAAATAATTCGTACTGAGAGAATTTATCTTCTCAGTTTCTATAGTTTATGTGACAAAAGTAAAAAGGTCAGACAAACAGTGACAAGAATACATCATGGTGATCAGGGTGGATAATAAATAAAATCCGGGCCAAGGGTTGAGAACACCAACAGCTGACAAAAGTCGGATTAATCCCACCCGAAAATGCTAAATACTTACACTGTATATCAAGAGATTTTTCATTTTTCGACTTGTTTTCTTCAAATCATCCTTTGCTTTCATTTTAAAAGCTGACAATATGAATTTGTTAAAGACTATAAAAGAACATCAATAACTGCACGATACTAAACAGACTGTATAGCGGGTACCGTACATATGGTTAGTTGCAGAACTGGAATCAACATATTCCGAATCGGCGTGGTGATGTATGAATGTACAATGTCGAAGTTCTAGGTAATAGTAACACTATTACTTTTTAATACCATACATTATAAAATACGATGTAGATAAATCACATTTTCTCTCTATAATTTTGACCACTTTAGTTGTCAAAAGTATAGAGTAAAAAAAGTTAGTAATACTTTTGACAACTAATTAGTTGGAATTCCTTTGAGAGCTTTCAGATTACGAATTTTCGCAATTATTCATTAATTTCTTGGGCTTTATTAAATCGTGTGTGAACTCAGTTTATCGGCTCATCATACACGATATTGCATAACATTATGACAAAGACATAGAAACACAGTTCCGTACGTGCTGAAATGCGTGTGAGCAAGATAAGACCCACTTGTTTAAATGTAGTGATACGATTTAATAACTGATATCAACCTGTTATCCATGCTGACGTGCACATTACATCGATCGCTTGTTCTTACTCTTCAACAAATACGACGAGGAAATCGTAAATCATTTATGTAAATGAAAAATCATTGTTTTACATAATTTGTATCAAGGTTTTGGAAATTTCTGTCTCTTGACCTTCAAGTACACGCGCTGGAGAAAAAGGCTGCACCACAAGTAGGGGCGAAGACTAATTATTTTCACGAGTTCCAGATGTGATGCGTCATCTAATCTTTTGATGTATCTGTAGTCGATGCCACGTAAAGTTGATCAGGTAGGAGGTTCTCTCAGGAAGAAAAGTCCTTCTCACGTATTTTCTTGTTTTGAATCTAATTACGAAAAATAAATATTTGGTTAGATACCTAAGGGAAAATGTATTATTGTTGTATTCATAACTACAAGGAAATTTACTTTGATCAATTTTTAAATCACACGCACTTTTGATCAAGCGTCGCGAAAACGATAGAAATCATACTGAGGGCGAACTCAACGAGTTTCTTCCCAACTTTTTTCATTCTACCAAAAACTCTTTCTTCTTTCCTCCCTCTTTAAGACTGACCTTTCGGTCAACGTATTGTGGTCTCTCTCAGAGCATACTGAGTAAAGAGACTTTCCACCGATGAGATTGCTGAGCTCACAGTGTTGTCGTGCATCGGAAGACCACACTTTGTTTCATGTTTTTAATTTATGATACAATAAATTATTGATTTTATTTAATGAAATTAGTTTGAAAATAATTATTTTATTAGACGAACAAAAGAAGAAACATGATCAAAACAGAAGTTTAATAAATATTAGCGTTGAAATGGTGAGTTTGATATTACGGAATTTACAAAAGAAATTTTTGCAGCATTTCAGTAAAACGTCAATATAGACGGTAGCTATATTTTAATTCAACTTTAGTTAACAGTTATTCGGAAGAAAAATCTATTCTAAGTTACGTCACATTGATAGCATTTTTAAGAAGAATGTTTTTCACATAAAGAATTTTTTGATATTTGAAGAAAATTTCAGCAAAATTATTTTTCTGGATTCAGTAATAATAAGTGACTAAAAATAGCTGTATAACAATTTCTAATATCTTTTATCTCTATTTAGTAACATTTTGAAGAGTCTCTAAAACTAGTACATGGAAAAAATGTTTATTGGAATTGAGTTTGCACGCAATTTTGTGCACAAAAGTCTGTGGTTTGAAAGAAATAATTTCGTAACTTAAGAAAGATTTTTGACGCCTTACTTAAACGGATTGAAATGTTAAGAAAATTAAGCAAAATATTTGCTTCAATTTCTTTAATATTTAGTATTGCAAAATGTATCTTCAAGATCCATCCTTTAACTTTTATTGTTTATTTAATGTAACGTCAAAAGGCGTGTCACTCAAAACTGATGGTTCATTTTGGAACCAATTTATTAACAATTCAAAGCTATAAAAATGTATCTAAAAGTGTACAATGATTAAAGACGATAATTTAAGAAACACAACGAGTGATAGGTACATTCCCTAATGTTGACGTACAGACCCAGACATTGGTAAACAGTATCTATGTTTTGTCATTTGAACACGATTTCGCTTCTACTTTAAAACTTATTCATGCTATCAGACCTTGTAATTCTTTTAACAATTACATTTACAACCAAACTCAATAATTTGAATTAGAAATTATTAGAGAATTAGAAAAAAAGAGTGATATTAATTTTGTTCATTAATTTTTACAAAATGTCCTGTTAAATTAAATTAAAATAAACTGTGACAAAAGTAACGTAAATTATCACAGCGGTATTTTACATACTAAACAGTACATTGGATAAGTCATTGTCGGATGCTCAAACGTTAAGATTTATCTGAAAAAATGATAGTTACTCATTTACTTAAAAATTCTTGTTAATTTGTTGAGGATATCTTATACATTCAACATTTGATGTGCTGAAATATAATGTTTCATTTATTTCGATTCATTGCGTTATAATTCGAATTCTATCCTGCACCCTTCGGTTATCGCTGTAAATGAGTGACCTCACTTTTACCCAGACAAAGCAATGCATAAGAGTTAACCTTTCGGCATAGTCACTGAGAGCATTTCTAAAGGCTATATTTGATGTACATTTACTTGTTTGAAGTAATTTTATAAGTAACATTTAACTCAACTTCTATCCCTTTTATTTTCTTTCTTTATTTTCATGTTCTTTAGATTTTACTATAAAACTGGCTCTTGCAGCGTTCAGTTTAATATTTCGCAATACTTTTCAGAAAAACGAGGAAAGCACTAGAATATTATGAAAATACTAAATATATTCTTTTTTATCAGTCTACTTACTTTTTCACCCGGTCTAGATTAGACAGAGAAATTCTAAGAACCTCCAAATACAGATGCAATTTTGATTCGAAGTAAAGTAGAATGTTTTCATTTTAATAATTTCAGGAAAATCACAAATAACAATATTATACCGAATGGAGATTAATAAAACGTCTTATGCGTTGCGATTTAAACGCGATATATCTTGTAAATATTTCAAATGAAGTGATCACCAATGACACGATTTACCCATATATTTTACAAAACTGCTCCATTAAAATGTATTTTCACACTCAATTTTCCCATAAATTGAAACAAATATTTGCGTTTACAAATATCTTCTCTTAAACCCCATTCTTACAACCACCACAAACACTACGTTAACTGAATCACCCTCCACGGTCGCTTTTGGACTGAGCGAAATATCTGTTCTCCCCACCCCTCTCCAATTCTCCCCTTCTCCCTTTCTTCTATGAAACCAGAAGACATTTTTTCAGATAATATTTAATTTCGAACTGACAACTACAAAAATCAATGAACTTTTTCAAATAAATGCGACAACCTAATTGTAGCAATTCAGTAAACCCCTCTAAGCTACGTTTTTAGAAAACACGTTTAACATTGTGTGCTATTTTTCGCATGTATGATCGCTGAACCGACCGCCAATCGGATATTGCGAAGGGGAAGCAGGAGTGTTTGGTAGGGGAAAAGAATCGTATTTAGTCCCCCCCACCGCCGTCACCACTCGCACTTCATTAGCTGCGCGCGAAAGTGAGTGGTGATCGTCCTGTGCCGAGGCTCCCCAGGGCTAGCAACTCTCCATCAAAGCAGGGGACAAAGCTCGAGGGAGCTACTCTAGGAGGCGCTGGTGTCGCCGGGTACAGCTGCAGGTTAGGCTCGCCAACGTCTGCACATAAAAATTGGCTATTTTGTGAGAAATAGGAAAAGTGTCTTTTCAATGTTCAATTATTTATGATATACGCATTTAAGAAACACCTGAAGAAAGCGCGAACATCAGCGCTATCGTTTGTAATATTATGGGTCTGCTTGCGACCCGCAAATTCCCGCAGCAGCCACGCAAGTTTTAAGTATCGTTGGCAGAAGTTCGTGTTTTAGTGTTAAGAGGGTGCTGCAGCAGAACGCGCCACCGTATTGGTTTCCACCACGTTATACGGGAGTTATAAGGTCTTAGGCTCGCCAGTGGCGCGCTAGAAGGTTACGTCGAAGTCTGAGGTCCACCGCCTCGGTCTGCAGTTAGGGGCGGTCGGTCTCGAGCACTGGACAGGGCGTTCGCCTCGCTTGGTGGTCTCTCGTTGTTGCAGCGATCGCCTGCAATAGACCGTTCCAGGGCGGTTCTGTGGATATGTTGGGTCCACCTCTTCGGCTGTTCTTTGGGAGAGAACGTAGTTTTGTAAAGAGTAGTCGGGCAAAGCTTGATAGTTCTAATTAAATTATAAACTTTCAAATTTCTTAACACTAGAAAGACTGGAAAAGACTCATACCTAGATGGACGATTCTGGGTCAGTTGACCCACCTATTTCTTCTCAATATATAGATTCGATTTGTTTTATTTACTTTTACAGTTGGATAGTGCAGTACACGAGATTTTAAATCTAGATTATTAATAAAAGAAAATTACTTGCAAATAATACATATTTTGTAAATATGAGTATTTAAAAAATGGAACTAAGCAGGTTCGCAGCTAGCACATACTATTAATAAACTTTTACATGTTGCACAGACGTATTGACTACATTATTTTGCAGGTATCTTTTTTTGCCATTACAAAGTCTAATCTGACAACAAACAAGTTTCAAATTTGATGTTGGGTCAACCTGAGCCACGGATTGCATTCCTACGGCACTTTATTTGCTCTTTCGATGTGGCGTTGTCAATTGCTCTGCGACTTCACAAATGAATTGTTTGCGTGTTTTTCTTGCTCCTGTGAAGATTATGAATACTGTGTGAATTTATCACAACCTGGTCGGGAATGTAAAAGATATACACTGGCTATAATATAAATTATTCGAATGTTAAATGCAGTTGAAGATTTTAAAGTTCCAGAAAAGAGTAGGGATTTTCACCCTCCCTATTTCTCCTTTAAGTTCAAATGGTTTCTCCTTTTAGTTGAAGAATGAGCAGTCATGGCCCTGCCCAGGTATTGTTAGGGAACATCTTTTATTTATTATATCTACTAGCAATAATTTGTACAGATCTGACTGTTTTCGTTTTTGAGTAGCACCGCAGAAGCCTAGAGATCCTTCTTAGTTTGGCTCGCTTAAATGGGCCCGTTTAAACCGCTAGCGTTAGGAAAGCTTCCGAGGGTCGGGGTTACAAGCGAAATAACTTTGGTTCCCCTCCACTGCCACAATAGCGCGGGTGCATCGTTGATCAAAACTTTGAGGCTGATCCCGAAATATTCCGTTCGAAGAAATAATCAAAGTAATCGTTTCTTATAATATAACATATTGGTCTGCATCCCGACGCGGGATTTGTTGGGATACTTTGATAAACGGTCAAAAATAATTGCAAAAAATTATTTACCAAACGTGGAACAAACATATGGCACGATTTTTTGATTTTAGTTATTTAAAACAATGCACGGTTTTTTAACCAGAAGTCGTGAAGAACCGTCGAAATATTTGGTGAGTAAAATTATGCTGGTTTCAGTTGTTGTAAATAACTGTATTTCTGAGTGAATACTTTTTCTTTTTCAGACAAGCTTTTACTTCTACTTCGAAAGTGACAACCAGGAGTTGGGATTTGCAGTGAAGACTTATCGCAAATTGAAGCTTCAATGTGAATTTCAAATCAACTATACCCCCGACTAGTCTCCACATGCTGTTTACTTCCCGCATGATCTTTGTCGGTCTACAAACTCTGCATGATTATTCTCATAATTCTACTCTTCGTGATTGTTTCAGGTACATTACCATGGTCCTGATTGTTCAGAATATCATTTGCCATCTTCGTATCCTGCAAGATTCTCTGCAGCTCTACTCCCAATGGAACAACAACATGGACATGCCTTTCTATGAAGAAGTCTAATTTTTGGCATATGTAAAATGAAAGGAAATTAATATATATTTAAAATTTTATTTTTATCCTTTATTTCTTTGCCCTCGGATATAAATCTCAATTCAAAACTTTCAATGTTTTATTGACGCATTTTCAACGGTAAATTCTTTGTATCCCTTAAACTCCTCAATATTACAATTTTTCACGATACTTTGTTTCACGATGAACTTGCTACTTAATTTTTACTTACATGTACAAATTACTTTAGTTATTAATAAAAATATATTTCCACAAATGGGAATTTACTTCATACACTAACCTAAAAAATCTTCAGTTCGTTATATATTGTCATCTGTATTCATTGTGAAGTACAAAATAATGTTAATTTGTGTCAAAAACAAATCAAATATAAGTTTTGATTAAAAATTTAATTTTTGCAACAAAGTTCAATTTTGTTTAGTCGTCTAAACTTTAATATAAAAACAGCTTTGAAACTGTAAATAAACATTTTAATAAGTCTCAATAAATGTAAAGCCTTTTCTCGCTCGAAATAGGCAAATTACATTTTTAAACAATGCAGTACATTAAAATGCATAGTAAGTGTGTTGTTTGATGACAATGTTATATGTAAAAGTGTATACTATGTGGAAACGTGGAGTAATTTAAAAGTATGGAAGAATATACATAAGGAAGGCCTCCTTGAGAAATAATTGGTTTGTTGTAGCAATGAATTACTCTGCATTTGTCCGCAACTAGTCGGTAATATGTGTAATTGCAGAAAATAATTTAAATGTTAGTCGCTTTTCTCGGAAGTCATATACAACTTGAAAATTAACAGAAAAACGAAAAGGTTTCATTTTTACTTTCTAGATGCATAAACGTGTCACTGCTTCCAAAAAACGTGACGTACAATATATAACAAATAAAGAGCAGATTTTCAAACATTAAAACAGCTGAAATAAGGTTCTTTAGTCACTTAAGTCTGAAAGAGGCACAAAATCTCAAAATAGAAATAAATCATACACAATGTGTTTGTCTCACTTCAATCATTTTTATTTTCTTTCAATTTCACACTAATATTCAAATCACTTTGTTATATTACCCAATTATAATTCCTTGCAGGGTTTTTACAGTGAAAATTTGTCTTCGCAGACAAGATTGTATATAGAAAAATATTCCCTGTACCACGCATGTTGTTGAGCAGAATTTAAGATATGAATTCTCTGGAACAACTCCGATAGACTCATATTTTCAGTTGTACCTTTAAAGCTTCAGCTGCTGCTACTTTTGACAATGTTTTCAGCCCATGATTTCGCCTGAACAATTCCCGAAATTGTAGATTTAAAAATGGGGAAATAAAATATTAACGGAAATAAGTATACGCACAAAATAAGTACCGTTCTGAAAATTTTCAGATCCTGTAAGCACACCTATGGTTATATTTCTCAACTGAAAGGCAAATCAATTTCACCAAATTGAGGTTGTTTTTATAAGTGGCTTATACAATGGGTCGTGCCGATCGAACCGCCGTATTTTCTTTCACTTATTGAAGGTCGCTTTTCAACTGATAAGGTACCACCGTAGATAACCTTGCGGTTAACGGTGACGGTATACGGACACGCGCAACCATCCATACCCCGGGCGGGATTCGAACTCGCGACCCATCGGGCGCGAGGCAGCAACGGCTCATCAGCCTCGGCGACCTCGACAATCCACGCCGGCTACTCGCCGACGATTGTCCAGACGCATTCACGAGGAAAGTCGTGTGGAGCGGAACGCCGCTTGGCGTCGACCGGAGGACGCAGCCGTCGCGTCGCCTACTCTCCCAGCGCAGTGGGCGTGTGCGCGGCCGCAAAACAACAGCTTGTTTCCAAAGCGACCGAGTCATTGAATGCCAAAACCAGACGCACATTTTCTAAGGAAATTCGCTGTTTTCACAGTTTGATATAGGCCGCTCTAAAATCATCACATTGCAAATGACACACCCCACATGAATGGATAATCAAAGAACGTATTTAGTAACAGAATCAGACCTATCAATGCTTGCCAGTTCTAAAATAGGATATATTGGTATTTAGATGTGACTCGTTTTCATAGTAAATTGCTTACATTTTTCCATTTCCGGTTGTTTTCTAGTTATACAAATCAAGCATTTAGTCGCTCTTCCACCATGCGGCCAAGTATTGTGTTAACAAATGACGTTGGTGCTACGTTAAACGTTTTCTGAAAACTGTTGAACATAGTCATAAAATGTCAAGCTATATTAGAATATTTTCCCTTCCTGAAAAAGTATTATTATTGGAGATATGAAACGATGGAAAGACGCTCTTCCATTGAGGAGATCTGGAAGGCACTGGACGAGTCGTTCCAAATCACCTTCCACCAGCTGTTAGTCCCGCTCAGTTGCGGTTCAAGACCTCTTTCACAGCAGCATATGCCGATTGACGGCAGGTTAGGATGCGATACTCGCTCTCGCTCCCTCTCTCTCTCTCTCGCTCCCTCTCTCTCTCGCTCCCTCTCTCTCTCTCGCTCCTCTCCTCTCGCTCCCTCCTCTCTCTCTAGCTCCCTCTCTCTCTCTCGCTCCCTCTCTCTCTCGCTCCCTCTCTCTCTCTCGCTCCCTCTCTCTCTCTCGCTCCCTCTCTCTCTCGCACTCTCTCTCTCTCGCTCCCTCTTGCTCTCTCTCGCTCCCTCTTGCTCTCTCTCTCTCGCTCCCTCTTGCTGTCTCTCTCGCTCCCTCTTGCTCTCTCTCTCTCTCGCTCTCTCTCGCTCCCTCTTGCTCTCTCTCGTTCCCTCTTGCTCTCTCTCTCGCTCCTTCTTGCTCTCTCTCTCGCTCCTTCTTGCTCTCTCTCTCTCGCTCCCTCTTTCTCTCTCTCTCTCGCTCCCTCTTTCTCTCTCTCTCTCACTCCCTCTTGCTGTCTCTCTCGCTCACTCTTGCTCTCGCTCTCGCTCCCTCTTGCTCTCGCTCTCGCTCCCTCTTGCTCTCGCTCTCGCTCGCTCTTGCTCTCGCTCTCGCTCGCTCTTGCTCTCTCTCTCTCTCTCTCTCTCTCTCTCTGTGCCTCATTCTGGAGTGGGGGATGACAGGACGATGATGATGATGGTGACAAGGAAAGAACGTTGGCGGTGATTAGTTCTAGAAGGCGCTTCTCCGGAATTCGCCTAGAAGAGATCAGGGAAATCACTGATCAGAGCAGTCGGTAAACGGATTTAATTTGTTGCATGAGATTGCACACATGTGCGTTTTTTCAGTGTAATACATTTAATTTGCTGCAGGTGTCACTAACTTATTACATCAAACAATTCAAGTAAATTTCTGGCGTTTTAGCGGGATCGAAACCAAGGTCTCCCAATTACCAACGCTTGAACCGAAAGGCATGGTTTTATTGCTACTTTTGTTGACGAGAGGAACTCATACAAATATGTACAAAAAAGCCGTCACTCTTTGGATACCCCTTCGTCCAATTTTGTAATAAAACATTTCTATTTCTACCTCCCGAAGTGTACGAACACATCTTATTAATCTCCATACTTACACCGGATTGAATAACAAAAATTTAATATCAGCAGTGTTGTTAAAAGGTGTTCAATGAAAAGAAAATACATTACTACACGTATGTCGGTCCCGTGAAAAAAAACAACTGCTTCGTACACTGGCTTTAATGGTGTGCGTTCATTTTGCAATTAGTTCTCTCCCCAATCGTACAATTTAGTAACAATACTGCATACCCCTGGGAGACCTCAATAACGTATACTTATTTTTCGCATGACACATTATTTCAAAGAGGCGATTTCACACCAGAAGCAAAATATTGTCTGCAAGTTGGTCTGGATTCAGCTATGAAATCTTGTAGCTAATTTCGAGAATCTAATTTAAAGAAGGTAAAGGCATAAGCGATTCTTCATGCCATTGATTTCGAATTTTACATAAAGTACATGAAAAACAAAACAAAAAGTTATTTTTGGATTTGCGTGCATTCCCACAAGAGCTCCTCAATTCTCAATTCAATTTTTCCTGGGTGCTCGAAGCAAATCGGAGACCAATGTAAATGGAGTTTTTATCCATTAACATTTCTTTATTGCACTCGACAGCTGGTGGTGATAGCCAATTTCCATTTGTGAGGTATCTTTGGATCATCGAAATGACATTCCCATATGTGGTAAACTATGAATAGCTATTAATAGTTATTTTACTAGTTCTCTAAATCTTTAAGAAGGTCGACGCAGGACGAAGTGATGTTGAGGTAGTGAAGCAGAATAGTTAACCCACTGAGGGTATCGTGTCAATGATACGAATACCATATTGTATATCACACATGGACATGGTGTTAAATCTAAGAATTTACTGAATACTTTCTATCAATTTTTTTCTTGGCTGGGAAGTAAACGACACCAAGCACTTTTTTTTGCAGAATTTTCAGATTAGAAAGGAATAAAGAATATTTGCTTAAAATTATATATATGTCATTTCGATGTACAGTAGAAGAAGGGTTGTTTTACCTGACTCCTTTGCCTCGAACTGGTCCATTTTTTTCTTCCTTTCCTTTCCTTTCCGTTCTTTCTTTATTCTATCGTTTGGAACTATTGCTTTATGAAAACGGTATTTAAAGCATTTGTTCCGTTTTTCTAAATTATTTTGGGACGTTTCGTTAAATCTGATATCATTAGCCTAATTAATCAATGGTAATTGACGAAAATGTGATCGGAAGAGCGGTCATTGATTCATTTGTTCAGAAGGAATGAGAACGAGATAATATATTTGGTGAAAGAAACGAAGACGAAAAATAGTTTAAAATACTGTAAATTCAAATAATGTAACATTTTCTTTATAGTGGGAGAAATATTTTTCATTTTAACTACACAAATGTGGTATTTGTTTATACACAAAAGAGCAAGAAAAAGTTTTGAGGCAAAAATTGGATTAGAGGAATTGTGTTTTCAATTCCTCTAATGTCCTGCTTCTAACATCGATGGTCCTTTATTGCAAACTATAAGAGTGTACACCGTTTGAAAGGCAAGAAAATATGTCCGTATAGTTAGCGTACCCACTTATCACAATATTGAAAAATTGTATCCCATAATTTTGTTCTAATTAAAGACTAATTTATACCCGGGTACCGACCCA